GGCGGCAGCAGCTCGGGTGAGCGGGAGCAGCCGCAGGTGCGCTCGCACAGGCAAAAGAATAGGTATTGTACTTTGCCTTGAAGGTGTTTCTGCTTCAGGATATTGTTCATGGGTGCGGGGAGGGGGGGTTAAAAAAAAAACTTGAAAAAGGAGACCCCAAACCTTCCCGTTTGACCGGAATCTTTTCTTTCAGTAGCGTTATATCAGTTGATCGTAGTAGCGCTACAACGCTCATTTATTTCTGCTTCCATCTCCACGAGGGCTGTCTTCGTCACGTCATACTCAACGCTCTAGCAGCGCCTTCCAGAAAGTAGCGCATACTTCCAAACTTCTAAGTATTGCTCTAATTATATTCATTTTCTGCTGAACATTAAGGAGCTCTTACTGTTGTCCGACAGCTTATGGTTTGCAGTTAGCTGATGCTTATACCATCTGTTCTGGTAATAAAAGGAGATGACAAGCGTTTCTGAATTTTTACATCTTTTCTGTAGCACACTTTCTGAAGCCTTTGTACACTTAACAGTCATGTACAGCATTAGTAGCTCTGATGGCATTTAGAGTAGACATCTAGATGGATGTGATATGACCTGACTGCAAAGGAGAACTATGACTGGGGCTGTTCATGGCCATGTGTCATCCCACCACGATTTTAGCCTTAGATCCTACCATGCTTTTCCAGGACAGAACACTGCTAGAGGCTGTGCAGTTTAGCTATTGTTAGTAGCTGTTCTGGTAAGTGCAGTATTAGCCTCAAGGAAGTACTTCCAGAGAGGGATTAATGACCAATCAATGTGTAGCATTGCACAGTGATTGTGGAGATTAAAGTTTAAAAAACATTCCATTTTCTAGGGCAGTCAGTTCTGACACTCAGTCTGAAGTAGTGCAGAACTGAGGGCTGTAATGCTCACTGGGTTAAAACAGGTGAAAAGCTCCACTGGAAATACTGAACAGTTGTGGGTTTGATGGAAGCAGAGTTTAATACATAGCAAGTGCAAGTTTGTATTTCGGTGGTCCATTCAGTATTAGCAAATAAACTGTTACAAGAACTTGGATTTAATTCTGCGCCCTGGTATTTGATCATTTCCTGCTCTCCCACAATTGCTAGCATAGGTGGCAGTATGCCAGTCTAGTGCAGACTGTTCATGCCAGGTGAGTGGGTAAAATGCTGAGTACTGCCATGTTACACCCATCACTAGGGGGCTGCATGGTAAATATGCTCATCAGAAGGGTGAAAGTTTGTCCCAAGTGCCTGTCTCTTGGGAGCTGTACTGTGAACTGCGTACATGGCAAATGGATTGCAATAGAACTTAAGAGTGAACGCTTATATATTTAGCAACTCTTAGAGTAGAGCAAAAGTCCCTAGCTGTTCAGTAATAGGCAAACTAGTATTTCCAGTTAAACATTGCCTTTTAGTCATACATGTTTACAACTAGTCTGCTGAAGGTATTTCTTGGTTTTTCCTCTGCCGCAAGAAAGTGGGCAATTCTGTTTCATCCATCATTAGTCTAACATACTTAGCCCTAGATTTGTTTCTCTTTAGTGCTGAGCAAGCTACATGACAGAAACAACTAGCATTATTTCAGTGTACTATATAGCCCTCACCTGGAAAAGGAGAAGCTTATTTTAATCATCTAAGGCTTTCTTGCTTCATGTTTGAATGTGTTAAAAGTAGTGATACTGATTTGATATCCAGTATTGATTCGACCTTCTGTCAAGGAAAGTATCCCATTAGGAAAAGTATCCCCAAGAATAGCCCTATTCAATGGGTTTAAATAAGAAATGAAAACAATGGCTTATGTAGTAGGGTGGAACTGCTGCAGTATTCTAGGCACATCACCAATGACAAGTACAGTGTCAGCAGCAGTTGATTTTGGAAGATTTGCAGAGCAATTTGCCAGTGCTCCATTTTTAATTGGAACAATCAGTTTTACTTTTCCTCCTGCCTAACTGATTTTGCTGTGAAAGTTTGACATAACATTTGTACTTGTTAGCTGCTAACGTTTATCAAGGGTCAGCTTTTTCGGTGTGTTATTGGGAGATCTTCAGGTAGCAGTACACTCAGTTCTTTATGGCAGATGCATCACATCAACAAAACTACAGGTGGAATTCAGACCTAGTAAAATGGATTTTTAGAACAGAAGGTCTGAAATTTACTCTACAGCAGTTTCCAAAAAGAAACATTTTAAAATGAGTTTCAACTAGATATTAACAAATAGTATCGCTGCCTCGCTTCTTGTTGCGGTAGGCAACGCAGTAGAAGACTTCTGCATAGTGAAATGAAGCTTTTCTCTGGATGCTTTCCCTAGCAGAGGGTACTTTTCCTAACTGAATGCCAAGTCATAACAAAGCACTGAATTAAAGCACTTAGCAGAGCAGGATAGCAAAAACTGAAGTCAAGCAGGTTAAAGAGTATGAAATCTGTTAACTCGCATAATCCATGCCTCAGCTATTTCTCCTGCTGCTGCCTCTTCCCAGCTAGAGGGCCCCAAAACACCCAACACTTGCACTGGCCTAGGGATTAAAATCATGACAAGGCAGCACTTGTTGGGAGGTGGCACTGAAAGAGCAACTTTGAGCTTTCCTTGGCTGATTACATCTCAACTCTCAAAGTACATGTCTGAGCTTGTTGGGAATACAGTGGTGTAATCGGGTGAAATTGTGGCCCAGAGAAAGGCAGAAGTGCTGTTAGAGCAGTGATGAGCAAAAAGATGTAAGCAAGGCATGGTTTACAGGGAGGAGTAAGTATTTCTTCAGAACACTGAGATAACTAGGCAGAAGGACTTTCAGGCATGTAAACTTTTACAGGGACCTCGCACTGATAGAAACAAACCTAGGTAGCTCCAGCTCCCCTGTCAGCTTAGTGCTTGTTTAAAGCCCTCTGCCCTCCAGGGCTTCTCTGTACACGATACTGTCTGCGAGACTGCAAGGTTATTTTCAATAGAGCTTTTGCATTGTTTGAAAGCAGGGTAAAGGATGATGCTTAATGAGCACAAGACTTAACGTCACCGCTAACCCACTGTTGAAGTGAGCCATTATTGAGTCTACAGATGCGCTGAACAGACTGCTTGTCTAGCTTGCACTCCCAACAGCTGTTTTCACTTCACACAAAGGTTAGAAACTGCATTATTTCCTTTAAAAAAAGGAAGGAGATTTAATAGAACTGAACTTTAATTACAAATTTAGCTTCACCTTTACAGGCATTGATGCCAAGTTGATACAGCTAAGAGCTTGCATTCTTGTGCCTGCTACACTAATTGGTCTGTTAGTAATGATCTTCTGCCACAAGCCTGGCCTGGCCTTCCCCAGCCATCAAAAGGTATGGTCAGAGGGGGTTTTGATCTGTTCCTTAAGCCAAGGAGCTTGTACTCACAGAATTGGCAAGCTACTTGTTCCCATAATATGCGTGACCATATAAAGCGTTCAAATGGAAGAAATAGTTATTTCATGACTTTTTTGTGATTCATGGTTTCCTCTGATTCATTAGTCTGGTGCAGTGTCATTTTCTTATACGTGCAGCTTCAAAGCTATAGGGTAGAACAATACTAGGTTCACTGGTGCTTTGTTTAGTTGGATACAAATTCAGTAGAGATCCATAGATTAGACACTTATGGGTAAAATATTTGTTGTAAAGCAATAACACGAGCACAATTGCAGGGAAAAGTTTTACAGAACTGATGGAGCAAGAAGCTTCTCAGATTTCTAAGAATTCCCACCATTCCCAGCTATCCTGAGTAGAAGGAGTGGTAACAGAAGTTAGATTTTTGTCTTGGCAGCGCTGGGACAAGATGAGTGGCTGCCTCCATTAATCCCGTGTATCTGCAGCCTAGACATGCTCGGGAGGATAGCGTCCAGTAATCCCAAATGTAGTTTCCAGTTAAAAGGAAGTTAATACTACAAGGCAGAGCTAAAACTTTACAAGAAACATGTATTTTAGTTAAGACTGGAGGCAGGACACTAGCTTGTCTGCCTCTTTCTCTAATAAAGAATAGTGGAGCAGTTAAAGCAGTCCTTACATCTCAGTTCACTGGCCCAACCTAGCAGAGATTCTCTTTTCAGAAATGCAGGGTGGAGGGGCAATCCATTGCTCTCTCCTGTTTTGTCCGTCTTTCACACCAATTCAAACTCATCAAGAGCTGATGTATTTAGTGCCTCCCTCTCATGACTAGGAAGTAGTCAAAGGAGGAAGAGAGCCCTCGCTGCTGCCAGCACCACAGACAGGAGCATTTTTTGAAAAAGTGACTCAGACCAGCAGCAGAGGCAGGACTCAGGAGTTGCTCTTAGGCACAAGGACTCTGACTCTTCTTGAAAACAGGAGCAAAGGGACTGCCTGAGGAACTGAGGAGACACTTGCCAATCCTGGTAATACTCATTACAGCAAAAAAGTGAGACTGTTCAAGGTTAGTAAGCCAATCTGCAGCTAGTACCAAGTGTGCAGCTCAGCTTGCCATGTGTAGAGACTCTTGTGGGTAGTCTGTGTTGCAGCATACACAGCACTATGAAGTGGAAGCCTTAGTTGAAATGTAAGGCACTGATAACGTGGAATTTTTTTGCTATTTTAAGTAACTTGCAAACTAATATTGATAGTGAATAGATCTAGATAGTTACTGAGCTTGAATACTTCATGTGCATTAAACAGGCTTTCCTGTGTGTTGAGATATGCTTGATCTTTAGGGATGACTTTATTCCTGATAGTGCCTTGTTTCAGAGAAGTGTGCTGGTATAAGTACATCAGAAGTCTCTCTCAAAGTAGGCATCCGTTACTTTTTAACAGGCAGGGCAGTGAGGGATAAAGGTTGACTGGATTAGCACTGGTCAGAGCATGAAGCTAGAACTAGGACAAGATTTTAGTCATGACTGCAGTTTCTGCACTGCCTACTACATATATATTCTGCCTCTGCTTTGCCTAAAACTGAGATGTTTGATTATATTCTTCAGCTGTGTTTTTGCTAGTATTTTTTCAATGCAGCTATTCTTATTGGCTCACTTTCTTTACAACTTTCAGTAAAACTCATTTATTCTGTCTGCAAAATTCTCTATAACACAATTTATATATTTTTCCAGAAAGCTTCTGAACATTTTCAGCTTCAGATTTTCAATTCTGTTTTAAACTATTGCAAGGGTTAAGATGGCACCTCTTCCAGAATCCACATCATAAACATTTTTCCAAGTTTGCATCTACATATGTAAATTTAAGAAGCCACCTTTTTTGTTCTTTTACTCTAGCCTTAAATTTGCCAAAATGACAGCATCCATTACATGGCTTGTTTTGGTAGCACCTGCAGAAGCATAAGCAGGATCATGCCGAAATGGAAATTTTGCTGTAGCTGGGTCCAGGGACACAGAACTCTGCTGATAGATGAGCCCGCACTTTAATGCTTAGACTTTAGTGTATAAGAAAAGCAGGTCAAAACTTGGGTTTCTTCTCCAGCACGTTGAAGTTACATATGTTAATGGCTAGCTAGTTTACAGCATCCTCTTTGTGTTTAAATATTATCAAGTTTTTGAACCTGTTTTGTAGGGGTAGACTAAGCTGATTGTGCTGTGAGCATGAGTCATTACAGATCATTCTGCATTTGAAGCTGTGATCTTGGGTGGATACCAAAACTGATAGGGCTAGACAAATTCAAATGGCTTCAGGACTTCCCCTTTGTTCCTTTCCAGGAAAGGACTCTTTGACCTGCTTGCCCAGTTACACTGTTAAAACTATTTGTAGCCTGCATTTAGTCATTTGGGATGAGGGCTCCAGCAGCTCTAGCAGGTCTTTACTTCTTCAAAGGTAGGTGGGGAATGTGTTAGTCATTGCCATCAGCACTGGGCACTTCCCCAGCTGAGAACCTCCTGGGCACTCAAGGGGTTGCTCTTTGGTAAAGCTTCCCATTGGGGTTAAGTGTGACTCAGTTTTTATTTTCCCCCTCCGACTCACAAATTTCAACATTTTAAGAGCTTGCCATAACATGGTAGAGACTGGCAGTTCTCCTCAAGCTGGCAGGTCCCCAAGTACCTCAGCCAGCCATGCTGTTCCTAGCGATAAGCTGAGGGACAAGGTCCTCCATGCTACGATAGCCTGAGTCCTGCCAGCTTATCCCAGCTGTTCTCTCCCATGGCTGCTTGTCCAGGCACTGAGCAGCTGGATACAACTTGGACAGCAGCAAGCACATCAGCTTTAACAAGCAGAACAGGTCAGGGGCACAGCAGTGTTGGTTTTCAGCAGTTTATTTTTAAACACTGATTTCCTGGAACTTCTAAGAAGTGGATGTGGTTAAACTCAAGACCAAGTTTCTCAACTAAACCAGCAAATAAGCCTTCTCATTTCTAGATTTGTACTACAAACAGCTAGTCACTGCCAAAATGACATCTTCAAGCTCTGCCCAGTATCCAGCAGCAGAGAACGCCTGCAGAATCACACTTGGACAAGTCAACCAGGTAATTCTCTTCCCCACTTCATTGCTTCCATCTCTCTAGCTCCTTAATAAAGCCCAGACTTCTTGCATCAAGTCAAAGTTCTCCAAGTACCCTTAAGCAAGGAGGATTTCACTTGATTGAATAGGGCTTTTATCCTGAACAGCTGTCATCTGAGCTTTCACTATCAAAGGTGAAGGAACATTTTCATGGAGGGAAAGAAAGAAAAAACCAGTTTAAATGGGCTATACAAAAAACTGTACAACGCATTTCCGCATTGGACACGTACTTGAAGTTAGCATGCAGCATTCCTTTTAATACAGGACTGTGTGACAGTGATACTGGGCACAGTATATTGGCTTGTATATTGAACTTAGTTCAGTCATTAACACATCCCTGTGCCTTTTCTGATACTAGCTTGGGTAAGCATTGAGCATATAGTACTCCCATTTTTGGCTGTTCCCAGTAAGCAGTAGCTGAGAGCCAAGGCCAACATGGCAGGCAAGTAGTCTAGCATATAGGAACGCAGCTCTGGTGCAACATGTTACAGCCAGTCAGAGGAGAAATTTATAGTGCAAACAGTGGCTAGAGAAATCTGGTCTAAAAATCAGGCAGGTTTCTTAAAGACTGGCAACCTATCTTCCAGAGCTGCTTCATTAAAAAGAATATCCACAATACAGGGGGAAGTGGCAGGAAGGGAGTTAAGCTATTGAGAAGTTAAGAAATCCTCCTATTGGAGGTTAAATTAGAAGTTGTGAAATTTATCCAAGTCCTGTGAAAAATGTATTTCTATGCTTGTTTATTCAATTTGCTCCACTTGAAAAAGTTATGGCTAACCAGGCTCTCACACTAGTACCAATATATTTATTGTCAGCGCTCAGTATCATAGGCAACGCAAGTGAACTAACTCCTCCATTTTGGCAATATACTTTAGTAGTTAAGAGCCCATTTAAAATGATCAAGTTAGCTAGGTTACTTCTTCAAATGGAATGCAATATATGAGAATTTATTTCAAAATCCCTTTGAGAAGGGTCATTAGAGAAATAAATAAATGCAAACACATGTTTATCATGATAGATACTACATGCTGGTACGGGGGAGGGGGAAAATAGGTGTTTTTGAGAAACAAACTTGGGACTGGCATTAGTTCTATTTGAGCTTTAAAACAGACCTAACCATAAGAAAACAGAATCAATAAATTCACAGAGGTGTTCAATTGCTTACAGTACTCAAACAGCAAAATGAATACTTACCAAGATACTGTCTAACAGCTGAGCAACAAACGGCACTGACACACAACCAAAACCTTCTCTTCTTACCTTGTGCTGGAAAAACAGCGCTGCTGCTAGAGCTGCATGTTGAGGAACAGTTGTAGGAGTTCTGAGCAGGCTCACTCCTTAGGAAGGAAAGGAGTCTTTCAATTGCGTTTATATGGGCAAGGAGGAGGGGTGTTTATGAGACACAGCTGAACCCACCTAAAACTGACAGGTGAAGGCCTTTACAGGTGAAGGCAAGTATTACGTGCCTTGAGAGCAGAAACCTGTCAAAGTCTAGGGGAAACTAACAAACATAATGTGCTGAGTATTGGACTTTCTGTCACATGACTGATTAAAATATCTTGCTGTATTAGCTTTTGACAGACAAAAGAGGAGAACAGAGGAAGAAATTCAATGTGGGAAACATATACCTTAGTGTACAGTATTTATATGCAATTACCTAGCATACAGCTTCCTGGCAGAACAGCGAAGGCTTTCTGACTTTTAGGAACACAAGAGATGAGTTCACAGGGTGCCACTGTCCCAGTAAAGGAGGTGGGGGAGTGGGGGAAGTAGCTATTTAAAACTTGCTACTGTTTTATATAGCCTCATCTGTCTCCTTTGCTGTTCAAATTTGCTTGGGTGTGTGGGTGAAACCTAAGGGGGCTGTGGTGCACTTGGCATCTTTCCCATGATGCTTTATGTTTCATATAATACAGATTTGGTTTGATGACTGAGATCCACAGAAAATACAGGTTCTGATCCTTGTTAGTTAACCACAACTTGTATTTAATGCTGTCTTGTAATTATGTGTCTGTTCCGAATCCTAATAAATACATACTCCCTACAGCCTGTACAGAGCAGATCTGATCTATTCACTGCATTAATTAGGGAAATTCAGGCATGCTGATATTGAAGTTATGATATGAATACACCATCATTGCTTCTAAGTTTGTGACTCAGTACATTGGGTTAGTCACTGCCTAGGACTCCATACCAAGGGTCTGAGTTTCCAGTCTTTCCTCACATGATGAATGACATCAAAGTTAATGGAACAAAGTGAGCGATTAAAGCATTTAGAGCTGGCTGCCCAAGTTTCCTGGCTTTTTTGTCTTACAGGTGAGTCAGAGTGATTGTGCTGAATTCCAGTCCTTCCAACTTCTTTTTTAAGCATTTGTCCATGCAGTTTATTTGTAAAAGAACAGTAGCCTTCAGGAAGCTAGCCTAAGGCGAGCAGTATTCCCCATGGCCTCCCACTCCTACCATGGTTGTCTGCTCTGTGCTTAGTGTGACAGTCTATGTGCATTGAGCAACTCAGGCTTTGCGAGCTGTAATATGCAGGCACGCATGCCAGGGTGACATTGTTTTCTCTCAGAAGGTCACTGCTTAATGTCATTCAAACAAAACTCTGTATTTTGCATTTTAGGTGCGACCCAAACTTCCGCTTCTGAAGATTCTGCAGGCTGCAGGTGCACAAGGTGAAACCTTCACACTGAAGGAGGTGAGCTTGGTTTCTAGGCACTGAAACTGAGCCGGTCCCTGGTTGTTTAGCAGAAGATTCTTTGTGGGGGAGGAAAGAGACTGGCTCTTGATTTTTCTATACTTCATAGCCTTATCTGTAAAATAGGGATACCTTACCCATGGGGCTGTTGTGATTTGATTGATCTTAAATTGCATTGAGAGCCTCCGAAGGACTTGGTATAGGAGTGCAAAATATTAAAGAAAGTTTTTTATTTTGGAAAATCAGAAAACATTTTAGAGAAAGGAGTAGTAGAATAGTCACACACCAGAGAGAATGCCAGAGATTCTGTTTAGTTGGCTTCCGATCTGCTCAGCACTTGAAAGCTTAAAAAATTGGATTCTAGTTGATATTTTTCTATTTAGGTTTCCTTTGAAATGGCTTGTCAGCTAAACCTAAGAGACTCTGTGAATTCATTTATTTTAAGATTAAAATGCAGTATGTGTACAAGATTAAAAAAAATGACACTGACTGTGATTTACAGGAGTATTCTGTCTGCAAAGAATTAAATGCAGTGGTTTTTCATTATGAGTGTGTCAAATATTCCTGCAGAGCCCTGTGACTTATTTTAAACACTTATGCATTTAAATAACTTATTTAGCTTCTAAAAATCTTTGCACAAACAAATTGAATGGTTTAAATGTGGAGAGTTGGGTGTTAAATGCAGGTTACTCGTATATATTTACATTTTAACTCAGGTAAGTCAATTTTTCTGCAATACATGGAGTGCTATTAGCAACTTTTTGGTTGCATTTACTACTGTTGTTCACGAGGGTCACTTTGGTGGCCAGTTGGGGGTGGAACTTTGTTTTTCATTTTGCTTAACATGCATTGCTTTTCCCTCCTGTACTCTAGATTCCTTACTGTAGCTGGCAGTCTGGTAGCTCTCAAATGTTTCCTCTCCGTGCTTCTTTGTGATACTAACGCACACGTTTTTGCATCTGCCAAGCGAGTTGTCTCCTCAGGGCCAGCACTGTAATTGTGGTCATCCTTTAGTAACAGCTTATCCTTTCAACTGGTGATAACCTTCTGTCTCCTCATCACACCGTTTCCTTCTCATCTTTACTCTGAGTTGTTATACTGTTCCTCCTCCTGTTTCAAAGAGAGGACACAATCGCTGTGGTCCTAGCAGGGTGTTCTGCACAGTCTGTGTCTTGGCGCTGCTGCACTGCTTCAAACAGTTCTTCCGAAGGCATTTGGAAGAGCTGCAGACTCCCAACTGGTGCTCTCACTGAGCCGCAGTTCAGCCACTTGCTCTCCATGTTGCTGAGAGGGAGATTGCCCGGATAAGGGTGTCCTTACCCTTGTCATGTTCTGTTTTAATGTGGGATAGAAAAGAGACTTCTGATTATCTGTCGTTGACACAGTTTTTCCTTCTGCCAAGGGTTAATAATTACAAACCTTGAAGTATATGGTGACGCGTAACTCTCCTTGTTTGGGAGGCGCAAATGGGTGGCAGAAAAGCAGAATAAGCTCGTATTACTTTACTGACACTGTGTAGGGCAGTGGGAGGCAAGTATCATAAACCAAAGCAAATTTCCAGGGTCTTTGGTGATTTAGTTTCCCCTTCAGGTATGACTAAAGGTGTGCTATGTCTCCACAGGTTATGCATTACCTAGGACAGTATATAATGGTGAGGCAGCTATATGATAAAAGACAGCAGCACATGGTCTACTGTGGAGGAGATCAGCTGGGAGAACTGCTGGGACTGGAGAGCTTCTCTGTAAAAGATCCAAGGTAGGAAAAAGTGACCTTTAACGTATGGTGCGTTATAGAAATTGCTGAGTCAGGAGACCCTTGATGATACTGTTCTTGTTCACCGTAGCCGAAACCTCCGTGAATACCAAATATCCAGCCCAGTGGCTTAGTGCTAACGTTCTGGAATGGCATTTAACAAGCTTGAGTTTAGCTCCCGTGTTTTGAAGAGCCAGTCTACATGGTCCAGGCTGTGAGCTGTTTGAGGTTACGTCTTTTCCCCCTTTTATTTCTGCACCTTCTTAGGCTCTTGATCTCAGACGCATGCTAAAATTTGCATCCTTCAGTTGCTTTCTGATCTAGACTTCTCTATAGCAAGCGTTTAGGAGAGGCGGACAATCCATTGCGGTTTCCAGCATCTTTTTGAATAATAAATGAGAATTTATGTCCCTAGTTTAAAATGGTAACACTATTTGTTATTGAGACTCAATGTCTCCTTCTTTCCTGCAGCCCAGTCTATGACATGCTGAAACGGAACCTGACTTCTGCTGCTATGGCAGGTAGGTTTGTCACAGTTTGGGCAAGTATATTCAGTACAGTGTTGATGTAACTTGGGTAAGTAACAATATTCAGAAAAGGGGAATTTTTCTGAAGTTGGAACAAACTGCTAATGAAGGCTTTGACGAGAGAATCTCTTGAGAATGTGTCCTTTGTGTGTGTCCACCATCAGCAGCTGTGATTTGAAATGAGTTAGCTGTTTGAGTAACATGGCTGCCCATAACCGATGGCCAAATCTCAGAGCAGCAGACAGACAAGGTCTGGAAGCACACTGAGAGAGCTAAACACTGTGGATGTACAAACCAACTTGGCTGAAGTATCCCATCCAAATCATTATCAATCTCTTTCACTTTCATAGCACACAGTGACTTCCCACTCTTATCTCGTTTTGTGCTTTCACGTTCTTGAGCCTGAAGGCAGAGTGCTGAAAACCTAACCTAGTTCTGCAAGCCCAAGAGGTCTGGACTTCAACCAAACTCTTGAACCCTTAAAGGTTACTTTCTCAGCTCCTAGGAGAAGTTGTCATGCCCACCTACATCAAAAGTCCTTCCGTCATAAATTAAAGTTCATTCTTAGATTAATCTCAGCTGATGGCTCCCTTGCAGCCGTTTACCATTGTACAGCTGGCAATCTTGATGTGAAAAAGAACTTCTGATGAAAATGCAAGAGTGCAAAACATGAGTGAGATGCACTGAAAAAGTGGTGAAATCTTGCGTCATACTTCTAAGGATCTCTAAGCCGAAAATATGGGCTTAGTTTTTCAGAAGGACTTAAGTCTATTTTTGCCCGAGTACAGAACAGCTTTTGCCAGTTTAGAAACTGTTTGAGAAAGTGTGGTCCTAGACTGCATAGTCTTCTGCTCTGAGCCATATTTCTTCATATAATGGTGCCTCTGAGCTCACCTCTTTTTGCCATTTATATAGAAGAACCTCCCAAAGCGGCCTCTTGTCTAAGCACCTGTTGTCTACAGAATAACTGTGTGAGTGCCCTTTCCCTTGCTGGTGATTCCCTAGTCTCTTACCTATAGGCACTGTATGTGGAGAGCAAAGGATCCCAGGGAAATGCTCTCTCCTCTGCTGCCCTTTTCCCTTCTACTTGGTGTGTGCATGTGGCTGTGTGTGCATGTGGCTGTGTGAGCATGTATGGTCCAGTCATGGTGTAACTACTTTAAAACCTGCCAAAGGAAATACTGTTCCTTTAGCGAGCTGATCATTGAGTTATACCAACATGCCTGCATGTGTATGTGTGTGACTACAAAACGAAACAAGCTTGGCAGACCAGGCTTTTGACAAGTACATAGGAAGGAAGACTCAAGGTATTATTTCCTTCGTCTCAACCTAAGAATAAATAGAAATGTCATAGGCCTTAAAAAGAGGCCATCGTGTTTCGTGTTTTGTAACAGCCATTTGTATTCACTAGCCAAATCAAGGCTTATCAGCACATCGTTTTGCAGATTATCCTGACCACTTCTTTGAAGTACACCTGTAGAAAGAAAAGTGACTGCAATACATCTTGATAATACAGACTAAGCTCTTACATAATGGTATCCTTACTTGTCTAGCTTTTACTGCAAGTGTGAATCATGTGAGGTGTGTTTAGGAATACCTCACTTTAAGGACATTTTGTGTTCAGTTCCTGGTATGTATCGCAGGAACGCTTCTCCAATAAGTGGAGCGTATTGTCACACAGCGTAGGACTAGCGTGTATCATTTTTAAAATGTTAGAAAGGCGAGGCTATACCTCTTCTAACGCCACTGCAGAGCCCAAACAATTGTGGATGAGCCAGTTGGCTCCTGTTTTGCTTCAGGCATCAAGTAGTTATACAGCTGTTGGTGGTGGAAGGGAAGAAAGGAGAGCTGAACTAATGCATGGATGGCAAAGAATACGGGGTTCAGCCGTGTCATTTTATGGTCCTGTTTTCTGGTCCATTTTATGGACCAGTTTATGGTCCACTTCTCTCCCTATAGCAGCAGTTTTCAATGTCCTCGTATCATGCTCTGATTCATGACGTCTAAAATTAGAGTGCACATGTCTGCCTGGTATTTGGTGAGGAATTTCTTTACCAAGTGGAAAGGGGAGCAAGCAGAAGCCATCCTTGCATCTTATTCTCTAGCAAATCCTTCTATTCAGACTTCCTAAATGCAGCTCTCGTTATGTAGAACTATTTATATTCGTTTGATTGTTCTTGCTAGTTAGGTTGGCCTTTTAATTAACCCTTGGGGCCAGCATAATTGCCTGGATTAAATTTTGCTGTGGATGTGTACACAGTTACCCAGGAAAGAGCCTACTGTACATGGAAAATGATGTTTTTCCTGTCTCAGCATATGCTAAAGAGACAGTGTCCTCAGGTATTTATAAAAATCTTACTCTTCTCTATTCCCCTTCTTCAGCGTTGATGTGATACGGCCTTCAACTGAGAATCTCCACCCTCTGCTATTGCTCTGGGTTTCCTGCCCCCATGCAGGCTTGTTGCATATGGGACCTAGAGCTTGCAATGGGAGGACAGACTGTAGGAGAAAGAAGATTTTTTTTACATTGGGAGGAAGGTTCTTAGATGCTGTGAGGTTTCCCCAAGCTTTATCTCGGTAGGCACAGACTATATATTCCCTAGGGCATTGCCTCCCTACATACCTAGCAAAGCCAAGGGAATATTGGAGTAGTACCTGTCTAGGAAATGGCCAGTTCTCTAAGGAAGAAAAGATTCTGGTTTCTCTCAGAGGGTTACCTAGCAGTCTGCCAAGCCTGGTTCGTTGGTCGCTTGCTGAAGGCCTTCTGTGTTGTGAGAATGGTTATTACCAGGGAAGGTTTTTTCTTTTGTTTTACCTGCCATCTAGATGCTGCACAGAATCTCGCAAAGGAACAGAGCATCGATAAGCCAAGCCAAGACCAACTGAAGGTAAACCCACTGCCTGGTGGTTTCTTTTGTTGTACAGAGTGCCCCTTCTCTGTACCTGTGCATGGTGGACTATGAGAACTTTTTGCTGCTTGGCTACCAGGTCCTCACCTTCCTGAAAAGTTCTTGGAGTCCACAGAGCAGGGACAGAGTGACCCTTCTCTGTTCTCTTCATAACAGAGTTCCAGTCTCTGAGCGCGTTTCTCTGGGGTGTAGCACTTCTAGTCCTCAGTTCCTCCAGCGTGCTCTGTATTTTCATTTACTTCCCCCTCTCTCCCCCCTCCTCTGAATAAGAATTACCAAATAATTAAACTTTCTAAAAATATAAACAGGTTTTTTGTTCGGTAGGATTGTTTTCAAAAGCTTTGAGGCAGATTCTAAAACCTAGGAAAAATCTTTGCACACTGTAACTTATTTCAGATATATTTTGGGATTAAGGTAGTCTGGTCTGGGAAGTGTGTGTTCACATTAGGGGCCAGGGGGATCATGAAGATCATAGGGTTACTGCATTAAAGATGGCAACTTTTGGACTTTTGCCAATCTTAAGATTTTTCCTGGGTTGAAAGCATATTGTGTGTGCTGATAGATGCATTGCAGCCTTCTTAAAGGGTTATAGTGTGTAGCTTTTGTTCAGTAAACTTTATTCCTGTGTGTAACTTCTTGGTGTTGTACTGCTGCTGGTGACTCAGAATGGAAGTGCTACATCCCCTTGTCCCTATAAGCTCTGATGGACTAACATCTGTGTTTTCCTTCCTTCACGCAGTATAGCCCACAAGAAGGTTCAGACACTGGCGTAACGGAGGGTGAAAGCAATGCGTCTGCTTTGTCTACCTCAGAGCACAAATGTGGGAATTATGAAGGTGAGTGCCAGTCATCCCCTAGTAATACAATGTGTACAAGTTGTTCTGCTCATTCTCCAGTGTGACACACAGAGCTCTGCATCAGGAAACTGCTGGAGGGGGGTGCCAGGAGACTAATAAGAACCCTATTGTGGAAAATATTATTTAAATATCATTTGAGGGCAAAGATTTAGCAAATGTCTGCAAAAGGTATTTTATGATGGCTGCGTTTTCTAGTGTGGATATTTGGCCTCATACATAAACAAACGCTTTGAATAAAAAGGCAGGTTAAGCCAAACAGCGCATCAATCATTAGACAGTGCCACCAAAAATCTTTAGACCTTGCTGAAGGGTATTTTAAATGCTGAAATTATACCTGTATCTATTTATCTTCCCAAGGGACTCTTTCCTCTGATTACATGGAACACGTACTGAGCTGTCTGCAGTCATTACTTGCAAACCAATCAAGGAACTGAATAAGAATGGTGTATTTTTTCTATCCAGCTTGAGAATAATACAGCTCCTTCATATTTAGACATTTCCTTTGTTTGAGTACCTGGGGATTTCTTGGTAGTTCACTAATACGGATTTCTGATGTTACGGAAGCAATTTTCCTATTTTTCCATTTTCTACTCTCACATGCGTTCTCATATCAAGGAGCGTCGTATGTAAAACCAGATCTTCTTTGCAAGCGTGGTTATATCCAGATCAAATGAGGACGGTAGATATTTTCCTGGCTGCAGATACAAAGCAGGTAGAAACAGTCCTTGCCTGTGCCTTTGAAACTCTTGGCACTGAAGGGAGACGGATTGCAGGTTATCTTGAAGTTCAGACCTCTGAGTTTAGGATCATAGATTAAACTTTCTGGGCTAAAATAAAGAAGAAAGCTGAGGCAAGGAGTTACAGAGGACAGATTCTTAAGTTCCTGCTTCCTGTTTTGAGCCTACTTTTGGAATCCAGGGGCTCCAGTCTCTGGAAATTTGAACCAAATTCAAGCCAGTTCTCTTTCTGCGTCCTAAGTTACTCTGGAAATGTACCCAATGTTGACTTGGGTAGAGCTTTGAAAGAAGTGTACTGATTTGTGTGTTGAGTCTTAAAAGTAAGGCAATGCTAAAGAGAACCTATACAGTTATAGAGACACCAGGAACTCTGGGATGCTTCTCTGACCTCTAATGGCTGTGCAGTGACTATTCTGCCACATTCACTTGGGTAGATGCAGCAATACCGATGTGCCGCAGAAGTAACATTGCAGTACTCTCATGCAAATGCCAGAGCTGCTAGCTGTAACTCTGGCTGTAAGTGGGAGCGAGACAGATTTCTAAAATTGGATGGGGCCAAATTTTTCTCTGCTGGTCTCTCAAATAATTTAGGTGTGGCATGACGTAGATTCTACTTGGCTCTTACAGACAAAGACTTAATAGAAAACTTCTCTAAAAGCAAGAAGCCTAAACTGGACCTAGTGTTTGAGGAATGGGATGTAGCTGGTCTTCCATGGTGGTTTTTAGGCAACCTCAGAAGCAATTACAAGTCCAGAAGTAATGGATCAACAGATATTCAGACTAACCAGGTGTGTAGACATTTTAAAGAGGTGCACTGTATTCTCTTCCTCTCCTCTTTTGTGTTCCAAGTAAATAATATATTCTTGTCCTTTCTTCCCTCTTCCCATTTCAGGACTTTCAGCCTCTCCCTTGCGTGTTCCCGTCCCAGCCTTTCACATCACACGGTTACCTTTGGTGTTCCTACATAAACTGTGCGCTCTCTGAAGGCTGTGTTCAGCCATTGGAGGTCCTTCTGCACTCGAGAGCATTGGTTGTATTTCAGGAGTTGCCCCTCTTCTGGGTTGAGAGTTGTTATACAGTGCAGATGACTGTAGCGTGGCAATCAGCTGCTGTATGAACAGCTGGCAAAGGGAATGAACTGTAGTACTGTTTGCAAAAAGGGGCATCTTTGTGAGAGTAGTTAGTGAGTTGCCCCTTTCTCCCCTAGGGGTGACTGGATAAGCTGGCCAGGGCTCAGGCTGTTAGAGAGGAAAAGGGGAGAAGCTTTCGCTGCGGCCATGGCTGCAGTACTGGTACTTCTGCTGCTAAAAAGCCGAGCTATAAGAGTTCTCTCCTGTTTCTTCTCTAACAGGACGTAGACACTGCCATTGTTTCAGATACTACTGATGACTTGTGGTTCCTCAACGAATGTCCGTCAGATCAAAGCAGTGCCACAGTCAAAGTGGAAACAGTAGACTGCGAGGAAGTGAAAGAAGATGACAAAAAGGTATCTCCTCAACCATCCACAGTGTATGTGTTCCACAGGTTAACCTTGCTTAACTGATCTTATGGCTGTGCAAAATGCTTAAGTTTTCATCTCTCTTCTGCTGCTCTCCTGAGATGGGAGGAGCTAGATCTATAACCATCCAGAGTTTTTTGACTTGTGTTTAGAAAAGGCTGTCACCGTTCCATACATGGGATGATAGCTTTTCTCTGTAGTGCAGGTATTAGGAAGAACCTGCTTGGTTTTGGTTTAAATGTGTATATTTTCAAGGCAAAAAATTGATGTAAAATGACTTAAAATTCTATCAGGAATCTTCTCTATAGCATATCTCAAGCTGATATCTGAAGACTAATAAATGAAAAGACTTGAAGAGGAAAATCTCATTTTATGTTTTAGTGGCTTTCAGTATGTGATAGGCTGGTCTGAGTCTGCTAGCTGAGGTGGTAGTGAGATTGGTCACAAAAGTATGTTAAAAGGATTAAGCTCATGATTTCTTCCATGGAAATTAGTACGACTTCTCAGGTGCATATTTGCTTGCAGTATTTATATGATTCTTTTGTGCATCAGCGAGAGAGAGATGATTTGACCACCGGAAAATAAGACCATAAGCCAGCCCAGCAATATGTGTCAGCAAGATTCTGGAATGGCTGTAGTACATAAAATGGCTTTTCATTTGCTTCTAAAAATGGATTAATTGTCAAGGCCATTATATTGTCATTTTACTTTTGGTGTACAGTGCTGGGCTCATCACAAATACAGATTTCTGCAGCTCTTCTAACAGCATATCCCCTCTTTCCAGGTAAATGAGGATACATGTTTGCATGACTTTGAGGATTCTCAGTGCTTAAGTGATGACACAGATACAGAAGCTGCCTCTGAGGTAGGCATCCTTTAAGTCAGAGCTCCTTGCTTGGTTTGTGCTGCAGCCTTAGCTGTAGTTGCAAAAACTCCTCCTACAGCTCCTACTGGTTGTGGTAGGAGAAACCAAGAAAAGCAAAAGAATAAACCCCCGAAACATATGTTTTGTAGCCTACACGAAGGAATGCAGAGATGTTCGCTTGACCGGGGCCAGTTTGTTTTGGATAGGGCTCCATTAAATTTTAAATTGGATTGGCGTTAAGCATTGGCAGCCCATCAGTGCTCTGACCCACCCAGACTGAGAAGACCAAACGTGTCTCTCTCCTGGCTGCAGGCACTTTTTGTGGCAATGTCAAAGGATTTGTATGTGCTCTAGCTATGAGTGTCTTTCAGCTAGAAGATTAGAGTCCTTATTTTCTACGTTGTGCTTTCCCTTTGTGCAGGGTAATGTAGTGTCAGAACGGGCAGCTGCTGTCTTTTAATACATGATTTAACTCGTCCCTTCACGTACCCAGGAAGTGAATGAAGATTAGGCCCTCAGTTTCCAGCATGGTCAGTCTAGTGCTATATTAAATTAGCATTAACGATACCCATGCATGTTTTAGTAAAGTTAATTCTGTATTGTACTTTGAAAGGAAATTTGGGGTATAATCTTTGGTGGAGATTCAGAGGTATAAAGTAGACACTTTGTAATCACTGAAGTGGCCAAATCCAAACCGATTGCGCTCAAAAACTTAGTGCAAGTTTCTGTGTCAGAATCAGGGTTGTAGTGGGTCTTGGAAGCTGCAGGCCAGTTCTGAATCTGTTAGTTGCTTCAGGGTGGTCTCTGAGATGAGAAGAGAGTCCACTTCCCGTTTCTGCCTTTTTTTCCAGAGGTACTTACATGGCCTTTGTCAGGGGGAGTGCTGCCGGTTTAATGTCTTTGTCTTCACAGTGCCTCTCTGAGGACAGACCAGAGCTATTGTTCGTGTTTTAATAAAAAAATGAGGTGGAAAGAGAGAATAAGCAATAATTATTGGGTTGTCACTCCTCCTCACTAACCCATTTTTCTTCCGAATTTGCTCATAGCAGATATTGAGGGACATAAAAATTAATGTTCTTTCATCTGTACTTTTTTTCTCCCAGTCCCGCAGGCTGCCTTTTGAGGTTTTGTTTTAAGTCAGCAAAAGTATATCATGATACTCTTTGGAGCTGGTGGCAACATTTTTTAGCATAATTTTCTAGACTGTGCGTGCTTGACAAATTAGGTTGTCCCTGGCGTTGGACAGCTGAATCATAGCTCTGAACTGGGGCAGCTCTTGCCCTTGCTATGTGAGTTAATCAAGTAAGCCACTATTAGTTGTGTAGATTCAACAGATGCTAAGTGATTGCTGAGTCTGGGAGATATATTCCTAACTGATTCCAGGAGCTCTACCCTTGCATTTCGAGTGGGTTATTTAAAATTCAATAAGCTGCATGGCTTGAGAACATTGCATTCTTCCAGAGTGCTGAAGGCTGGGAGGAAGGAAGGACAGAGTTAAATGCTTAAGAGGTCTGAATCTGTGGAACGTACGGGGTAGTAAAATATACCTTAGGCTTTCTGAGGTGCTGATAATCAAACTAGCTATCATGCATCTGCAAGCCTTTGCTCAGTAACAGATGTCCTCTTCTGATGAAGTGTCTTTGCTGCTTTTCCCACATAGAGGAAAGCAGTTGTGTGCAAGAATACTCTAACTTGCTGCTGTTTTTGTCTGCCTCGATCGTTCTTCAGGACTGCTGGCAATGCACCAAATGCAAGAAATTTAACTCTCCAGTCAAACGGTACTGTTACCGCTGTTGGGCCTTACGGAAAGACTGGTACTCAGATTGTCCCAAACTGGCTCATTCTCTTTCTCTGTCCAACATTGATGCTATGCAAAACAAAAACGATGATGAAGGGATAGATGTCCCCGACTGCCGAAGGACTGTTTCTGCTCCAGTTGGCCAACCCAAAGACCTGTACGGGCTAGAAAACAAATCACGTGTAGATCCCTGTAGCTCTCTTGAGTCTTTGGATTTGGCACGAAAATGTGAAAGCAAGGAGTCTCTGTTGCAGTTCACAGAGCATAAAAAGGAGGAAGAAATACAGTCCTTAGAGAGCATAAAAAAATTACTGAATCCTTGCTTCTTATGCCATCACAGACCACGAGATGGGAATATTGTCCATGGAAGGACCGCTCACCTGGTGGCCTGTTTCAAGTGTGCAAAGATGCTGAAGAAGAAGAGGTCGCCTTGTCCAGTGTGTAGGAAGGAGATTGAGATGGTGATCCGAATCTTCATGGGGTAGTTGTGTTAGTTCAGTGCTCCTCTGCCAAAAGATTTCACACAGATTTTCTTGCAGTCCCACAAAACCTAACTTTAGCACTCAGCTGGTGAATACCAAAGAGAATTAAGATGCAAAACTGACTAAGGCCACTGAGGAATCCTCTGCATCGAATGAAGCCGCATCCGGTTTTTGATGTCCGTTAAATTAAAGCATTTATGGAGCAGGGAGCGACTGACACGTTTGTATCAATGCCCTAGGTTTGAAATTGTCTAAATCTTTTAATTTCAGAAGTTCTGTGGTGTCACTATGATTCTCTCTTCTGACAACTGCTCCTTGCAGAAAGCAAGTTTTGGAAAGAGTTATAACCTTAGTTGTTGGAGTGTTGTTCTCCAGTAAGTCAAATCCTGTGCAATGCCTTTGAAGGGAGGAGTCCACATTTGGAAAAGATGATGGGGGGGTTTTTGGAAGGATAGACCAAGGGGGTTGTAATTTGGATAAGCCATTTCTCCGAGGATCAGTTCTTATGAGGGCAGTGAGAAGTAAGTATCCTGGTTTCTGATAATCTCTGATTTTCCTTTTAATGTAAGTTTGTTAGATAAGGTAAAGGTCCTCTTGCTCCCAGACTTGAATAAGTCCTCCCAGACTTTTAATCTGTAACTATCTCAGGTCATATATCAGTTGGCAGAAGAATAGGGTGTTATACTTTGCTTCTTGATCCTTTAATTTGTATTGATTTTTTTTTTAAATTCAGATACAATGCTTTCTTGGTTTGCATAGCTTTGTTGAAGCCTACAAAATGTTAGCTGAGAATCTGGCCTGCCAGTTGAGTTAAATTATAACAGCTCTGTGCATGTTTTGCGATGTTCTCATAACTCTTTGCTCACAGCTCCTTTGCAGCTCCTACCTGCCTTATTTCATCAGGCTAGTCTAGAAGAAGCTCTCTTGGGAGTGTGATGGAGATTTGTTGACACATTGTGGACCTTTGAGAAACAAAAACATTCCCTGTAAAGCACCAGATTGCAGCTGGTTAGCTTGTGTCTGGCCGTTAGCACAGTTAGTCTACTGTGCTTGCTGTTAGTTTTTGAATTCCTCTGCTGACTTTCTTTCCCAGTGATTGAGCGCTTCAGATCTATCTGCAGCATTTATATTATCCTTCAAAGCAGTGCATGGTCAGTCAGTTGGCCATTAAAACTCAGCTAGGGCTTGCAGTTTAAAGCTAAACTTTCTCTGAGCGCAAGTCCTAGTGTGTGCTCAGATCTTCTTAAGCCTACTATTTTCATGAGGGTTGGCGGTCAGAGAACATTTGCCCAAGAGGAGGAGCTTTGTTTTTCCAGTGTGCAGAAGGTGGTTGAGTACGGCCCTAAAGCTGGGGGAAATTACAGGAGGGTAAAGCGGCCATTGTCGCGGCTTGCCCCGGGGCTCTGAAAACTGCCTGCGACCATCCTGGATGCCTTGAGATCCCTGGGGAACTGGGCACCCCTGCTCTGTTCCTCTTCTGGCTTTCCCCTCTGGGAAGGCTGCACAGGCTAGAGGCCTCTGCAGAGTCAGTGGAGAAGACAGCGCTGTGGGAGTGGGCGTTGAGCACAACCTCTGCCGTGCACAGATTTGCAGCCCACTTAAGAGCAGATCATTCACCTTTTCTGACAAGCACCATCTCTCCTCCTTTAAAATGCATTTGCAAAACAAAGGAAATTTAGTTTTCCTCCATCCC